CTTTGAAGGATGTATAAGAGTTGTTTTCATTGTCGTTAAGAATGAAAAAGGTTCGAATCCAATCCACATCCATTGTATTGTACTTTTTAAAGTGAGAAAGTAGTTGTATATTATGAAAATCGATTGATCTGAGGAGGTCTTTCACGAATAATCTAAGTGGTATAAGTACAATATTCTCGTTAAAATAGAGATTATAATGGTATCCTAGAAATTTGTTATTTATAGTGATTGGGGGACCATCAGCTTTTGCTAATGCATCAACAACATTATTATAGTAATCATCTGAGTGAGCTTTGACTTTGTGAAATTCAACGAAAATGGACTTTTTCTTAATTAACTTTATGACAAGGAACCAAATTGGGTAAAAGGAGATTTTAAAATGGGGTTAAAGGTAGGGGAGAAAGTGTAGAAGTAGTTCATTTTATCAAAAGATGAAATGACATTTTGTGAGCCTGTGAAAATATCAACTGTAGCATTTGTGGGTGCTACATATATAGCAGATAGTACAGCTACTAGTTCTGCTAAAGAAGATGAAGGTTGGGAAAGGATAAGAGAAGTATTAAAGGAAAGTAGAGGTACTGAAGAATCAGATTGCAATCAGGCTACGCCTATACGGATTGAAGAAGTACCTAAATTGATAAAGGAACCATCAGTATAAAACGAGAGGTTAGTTGATTGTATAAAATGAATTTTAAAGTTGTCTAAACTATTAAGGATTTCTATATTAAAAATTTGCATGGATGTTAGGGGTGGAGAAGACAAAATTGGAGGAATATTAGGTATACTATTCTCAGTTAAATTGTAACTATATAAAGCAATTTCATAAAGCATATAAGGGGATAAAGAACAGATATGACCAACATTTGGAAGGAGGGGAGCTTTGATGTCAGCACATAGATGCAAAGGTAACATCATAAAACATGTTTCTTGTTTGTTTCTCATATTAGAAGGAATAAAGAAGGAATCATCATTGAGAGAGCATTTATTGCATGGTAATAGTGAAGTTTTGAAAGTATGGTCTGGTGAGGCAAAAAAATGTTGTAAGTGAACTATATCATTATCGATTCTGAGTAC